ACATTTGGGCCGATAAAAATGTCAACCGATGTGATATTTCTTGGTTGAGTTTCCGGTCTCTTTGGAGGGCGTCACTGTAGAGGTGTGTTACACCCTTCTCTTACGCCTCTTTCTATCTTTCAATAGCTACTCAATTCATTTTCTCTTCGTATGCAAGTGGTTACCTTCCGGTATAAGTTCTGGATTATTCTAACAGCTTTTCAAAATACATATATTTTTTTTCTAGCAGTTCAAAGTGAAAATACCTTTTTAAAAGGCGGGCACCGGTGTTCGTTTTATATCTATGATTAATCTTAATTAAAAGTTATTCGTTGCTTTAATATGTTTTGGGTGTAAAATGATCAAGAGTCATTTTATTAAAAAAAAAAATCATTATGTTTCAGAATTCCTGCAACATTCATCTTTACCACTGCGAACTAATCTTGTCTGTGTCTTAACAAAATATCTCCAAGAGTTACCTGACATTTTGTGATACAGACCAGAAAACAATTGATCATATCCTAAAGCGAATCTTGAACTCTCTTCGATTTTAAAGATGTTTTATATCGGAATGACTGCTGAAAAGTTATGCGCTCAACAACTAAAACGTTTAAAACAAAATTTATAATGGTTCAACATTTGATCAAATTTGGGGAAGTTAGCCAGGGCAGATAACTCTTCAACACCTATTTGTATTAAAACAGTAGTGCAAAATATATGTAAAAATCCAAACTCCTCCACTTTGTCTTACCTCTCTTGCATTGTATCTATGACGGGTTTAGGATACGTTAGCTGTGACAACTAATCTGTGGGTGCTTTCTACCGGGTACCATGTGTAAAAAAAAAAAACAAAAAAAAAACAGTAAATTTAGAAAGACGTGAGGCAAGCGTTAAAAACTGGTGTCGACCGGAGTGACAGAAACATTCAGAAAGAATTTCTGCACATTTCGTCAAACTCAGCGTCGGATCTCCGTCTTTGAAAAGTACGATTTGACGCTCAAAATCGGTGAGGTGGTCAGCCATACGAGAAGAGCCGAATGAAAGACGAAAGTTGTCTGCAAATGACCAAGCAGAAATTAATCAATCATAAAAGAACCAATCAGAGTTAAGTAATTACGCGAGAGTCGAATGATTATACAAGGTCAGGAATATTCAAGAAATTTATTCAAGATCAATAATTCCTGAAAGAATAAAACGGTGATAATAAATTTTCCGCATTTTTACTGGACAGTTTGAATTCTTTAACGTCGCTGTTTAAATCCTTTTTAAGGGGTTCTGGGTTTCGTCAAATTAAATATAAATATATAGCGTTTCACAAGGTTAAATTAATTATATATTTTAAATATATAGCGTTTAACCAGGTTAAATTAAAAACATTTTAAGCATATATTTTTTTAAATTATTTTAATTAAAAAGAACATTAGTTAAAGCAATAAAAGCATTATTTGCCAAATTAAACTAAAATCCTGGTAATCCCCGAGGAAAATATATATATAATTATAAATAATTACATTATGATTCAAATCAAAATATTACTGTTGTTTTAATGCCGAATGTTATCGTTGAACTTTACGGTACGCTTGAGGATACGACTAATACACGAAAGCCTATGGTAGCTTGGCTTAAACTGTTATGATTTAAAACAAGTTGTGGCAGAAGTTCGAGGATAGGTTCTTAGTATATAACAACCTCCAATGCAGCGAAGTACAGCAAGCTGACAAATCGATTCCACAAGTAGTCGGCTGCACTTCGATAGCTTGATATTGGTCCTTGATATATGTAATTGCAGGATCTTGCACGGAAGTTGACCTCTCTATCGTATCCCATAATCTGAGCTCATATCGATCAAACGCCTCCAGAATGGTTCTCAAACTTGGACAACTTGTGATCGATGGCACATTAGTCTGACCTGCTTAAATAACATAGTTGTTGGGGTACACAGAGCCCTCGAGTGCGTAAAAATAGGCTCAAAAGAGTATAATGCACCGGTCACTGGTTAATGACATGTTTAGGCGAACTGATGCCACATGAGCACCCACAAGACCATCTTGAAACCATCAGCAGACGACAGACTGCTTTGTTAAAAACTGGGGTTCATGACCTTTTTGGTGTCTTCGCTATACACGAACCCTATCGTAAAGATTGCAGTATTCAGGAAAACCCCTTTCACACAGACGAAACGCCGTGAACCACTCGCTACTCTATCGATTGGAAATGTTCAGATGACCTATATTCTTTAGTTCCGCCAACACTAACCTCATAGCTAAGACCCACAACGCTGGGTACGCTGAGGCAAACTACCCTCATTCCATTAATATGCCATGATTAAGAACAGCTTCTTCCAAGGGAGCGATATTTTATGTAACCGACTCCCAAAAGGATGATTTGTCGACCACTACAATCATAATCATTTCAAATCTAGCGTTAAGCGTTATCCCCCGCCACATATCCTCCTAAACTGTACCTCTTATTATTACATTAAACTAATTCAGTATCTCTCTACCTGGAGCTGCTTTTTGAGTTTTGTACAAGGTGAACACTAGCAATATATATCTATATATATATATATATATATATATATATATATATATATATATATATATATATATATATATATATATATATATATATATATATATATACGAGTCGAATTACCCGCGTCTTTCTGTGTGTGACACATTTTTTTTGTAAGAAAACGATGATTAATATTAAGTCATTGTTATAATTTGTGGAGAAAAATGATGCATTTCAATATTACTCAATGATCTTGCTGATGTGACCTCCATCTTCTGGTTTTTGTCTTCTGTATTTTGGATAGAAGTCATTCCCTTGATCAAATTTAAATTTAATTCAAATCAAAGGGGGGAAAATCTCAGTGGTCAGTGTAGGGGGGAACAGCTTGATCTGACTCTTTGATATGTATCTGATGCAATACTTGATTGTATTAATTAATGAGCAGATTTCAACATTTATATGACAGTTGAGTTGCCGCAACAAATATATATTGTAAGGCACTACCTACTGATTGGTGATTTCTTGGTCAACTTGTCGTCCATATTTTCTCATTTTGATCGTGCTGATGTGACCTCCATCTTCTGGGTTTTTCCGTCTACATTATTAATAATGTCATGCCCTTGTTCAAATCTAAATTTAATTTAAATCAAAAGGAAAAGAAATCAGTGGGTGGTTGTTGGGACAATGGATATTGCAGAAATGTTTTCGCTTATCTTACACACACCAAGCGGAAAAATATAAAAATATCATAAAAACTGAATAAAAAGAAATCATATATATATATATATACACCTTAAAGTGGTCTGTTATTCTTTAAATTATTTGCTCTGGATTTACATTGAGCTCACAGGATTTCATCCTCCTTGGGACTACCCATACAGATTACCAAGTTTTTCATAACTTAACTATATATATACACACACACGCACACACACATACACACACACACACATATATATATATATATATATATATATATATATATATATATAGCCTGACGTGCCTTAATCGATTGGGCCACAGAGGATGGATATTTTCTATGAAAATTTTTCGGACATTCAGACCGGTAAATGTTGTTAATACTGTTTATTATAAACAAAGCATTTACTTAAATATTTGTATCAATAAAAAGAACCTATAAACATAAAAATGTCTTAAATAATTGTCGGACTTTGTCCATTTCATAACATATGACGTCATCTGTTTACATTTGGATACGCATTGAGCAGATATAAATGAATGAGAGAAAATCATGGAGAATTTTGTTTAAAATCGACCTTGCAAACCGAACTCTCCTCTGTGGCCCAATCGGTTAAGGCACATCAGGCTATATGACGGTTCCGTATAGGATACAGGTTCGATTCCTGTCGGATTAGGCATATTTTCTATGAAAATTTCTCGAACATTCAGGTCGGTAAATGTTGTTAATACTGTTTACTATAAACAGAGCATTTACTTAAATATTTCAATCTATAAAAAGAACGTATAAGCATAAAAATTGTCTTTAATAATTGTCGGACTTTGTCCATTTCATTATATATATATATATATATATATATATATAGCTCTATTAGAACCCATTTAAACACGCACACAAACTTACCAGACTCAGTTCGAAACATACTAGTAGAAAACACAAGCATAATAACCTCATCCACTTGTGGGAAAAGATTAAAACTAATGGAAGCCCTAATATTAAAAAGGAAAGGCCAACTCTTAACAATATTAACAACGAACACAGCCAAAATGTGCTAACCGTTTTCTGATAATAAAACATCTCTATAACACACTAAAAACATACATATAACGCAAACAGTAAATTAAACTGAAAAAAATAACATCATCCTTCATAATGGCTAAAATTATAGCCGAAAGCGCTTGGAACATTTGAACAGTTTCTACAAACTCTGTGTCCAAAAAGAAAGCACTTGTTCGAACACAAGAAAAATTTTAAAAATTAAGAAAAAGTCATTATATATATTACGTTTGGAATTCACACATAGGAAGTTGATATTTGAGTTTAAAATTATACTTCTAATTAACACTATAATTGTAATTCCATCACTCGCCTTTCAGGTTAAAGTATAAAGAATTTTTTTTCTTAAATTGATATTTAACAAAGAGATTGGGTTACATTTGACGCTTTCAATCTGTCAAAGGAAATATTCTCCTTAGGAGTGACAAAAAAACGTTCTCGTTCGTTATCGTGTTTCTAGATCGTTACTGGATTGGGTTTCCTTCTCGCGTCAGAGTATGTGAATCGGATTGTGCAAGAATTTTTATATTTTACACATGAAATCGAATGAGACTGTTTAAGAAAGAAAGAAAGAAAGAAAGAAAAGAAAGAAAAGAAAGATAAAGAAAAGAAACAAACAAACAAACCTAACAAACAAAAGAAAAGAAAAAAGGGAGAAAGTGATACCAGTTTAAAAAAGTGAAAGAAAAAAAAAACAAACAAAAAAAGAAAAACAAACAGACAAAAAAAAGAAAAAACATTGGGTAATAATTCAAGTGAAGAAAAAAGAAAGAAAGAAAAAAAGAAAGAAAGAAAGAAAGAAAGAAAAAAGAAAGAAAGAAGGAAAGAAGAAAAATAGAAAAAAATACTAAAGCAAGTGAAAGAAAGAAAGAAAGAAAAGAAAGAAAAAAAGAAAGAAAAAGAAAGAAAAAAGAGGTGGCATGAAAGAAAGAATAGTTTGGAAGAAAAATATTAATAAAAAAAGCAAGAAAAAATTAAAGAACAAGAAAACGAAAGGTTGAAAAAAAAGAACGAAAGAAATAAAATTAAGTTTTTTAACAAACAAACAGACAAAAAAAAAAAAAATGAAAAAAGAAAGAAAGAAAAAAAAGAAAGAAAGAAAGAAAAAAAATAAAGAAAGAAAGAAAATATTAATAATTCAAGTGAAAGAAAGAAGAAAGAAAGAAAAAAGAAAGAAAGAAAGAAAGAAAAGAAAGAAAAGAATAGAAAGAAAAAATTAATAAAAGCAATGGAAAGGTGGCACGAAAGAAAGAATATTTTAGAAGAAAGAAAGAAGAAAAAAGAAAAAAAAACAAGAAAAATGAAAGAAAAATATTACTAAAAAATTAAAGAACAGGTTGAAAGGAGAAAGAAAGAAAGAAAATGAATGTTAAAAGAAAAGAAAGAAAGAAAAATTAAAAAAAGAAAGAAAAAAAAAAGTTAAAAGAAAGAAAGAAAGAAAAAAAAAAAAGAAAAAAAAAGAAAAACAAAAAAAAAAAACAAAAGGAAAAAAAGCAAAAAAGAAAAACAGGGTTGGATGAAAAAAAGAAAGAAAGAAAAAAAGAAAGAAAGAAAGAAAGAAAGAAAGAAGGTTGGAAGAAAAATATTAATAATTCAAGTGAAAGAAAGAAAGAAAGAAAGAAAGAAAGAAAGAAAGAAAGAAAGAAAGAAAGAAAGAAAGAAAGAATAGATTGGAAGAAAAATATTAATAAAGCAAGTGCAAGAAAACGAAAGGTTGTGAGAACGAAAGATAAAATTAATTTTAGAAGAAAGAAAGAAAGAAAAAAGGAAAGAAAGAAAGAAAGAAAGAAAGAAAAATAAAGAAAGAAAGAAAATATTACTAAAGCAAGTGCTAGAAAGAAAGAAAGAAAGAAAGAAAAAGAAAGAAAGAAAGAATGGAGGTGGCATGAAAGAAAGAATAGTTTGAAAAAAATTAATAAAGAAAGAAAATTAAAGAACAAAAAAGAAAATGAATGTTAAAAGAAAGAAAGAAAGAAAGAAAGAAAGAAAGAAAGAAAGAAAGAAAGAAAAGAGAAAATATTACTAAAGCAAGAAAAGAAAATAAAGAAGAAAAAAAGAAAATATAATCTCTAATTTCTCTAAACGTTATTCGTAACTGGTGCACGTGTTTAAGTAGATGTAATTTTTTTGTAGCTAAATTAATATCTTCTGACCTAGAGTTCGATAGTCTTATTAAAGAAAATGCGTCTCCTGAGAGGATTTGAGTCTTGTACTTGCTATCCAAGCCGGGAAACCACCTTCAAGCTAGACATTATCTAGGGATCAAGTTTCCTATTTAAATTAGGCACATTTCCCACTGGGAACTTTAGATGTCTATATCTGCTCTGGTCGCTTTAATTTTGTACTCGAAAGGTAAAAATAACACACACACACACACACACACACACATATATATATATATATATATATATATATATATATATATATATATATATATATATATATATATATATATATATATATATATATATATATATATAGACACCAAAACCTTGTCCGAGATTATGAAAGTATTCCCTCAAAATAATTAGACTTCTCCAAACTTCTCTAAATTATTCATTGAAACATGCCTCAATATATATATATATATATATGTGTGTGTGTGTGTGTGTGTGCGTCTGCGTGTGTGTCTGCGTGTCTGTGTATGTGTGTGTGTGTAAGATTTGTCAAACTCAACTGAAAATTTGTGTCTGTTTAATTAATTATTTTCTAATTTACGATTTAGTTCTACACCCAAATCAGAATTGTGGATAAACTGCCCAAAGTTCAATTATTGTTGGGTTTGTTTAAAGTACATACATCTGTCTCAGTCATTATCAAGAAGTGTAAAAAAATATATATAAAATATATATATATATATATATATATATATATATATATATATATATATATATGGTGATGAGCTGTGATACTGCGTAACAGTCTCTCTGTAGATGACAATATATACGCCCCCGAAAAATTCTTGGGAGAAAGTGCGAATTTGTAGTCAATAACCGCTATTGCTAATACTACAATGCTCTTCTATGAAATGAGCCCTGTCGGTCATTGGCATGTTTATTCGAAGAATAGGTACGTAAAAATTAGTCTTCCTCTCAACAGGGAGCTGATAGCTCAGTGGATGTCTAGCCACACTGATGAGCTGTGATACAGCGAAACGGTCTGTCTGTGAATGACAATATATATATATATATATATATATATAGATAGATAGATAGATAAGCTGATTATTAGAATATGAAAATATGGAATATAACCAACAAGGCTATTGTGATAAAAAAGCCGCTATCTTTAATAAAAATGCTTATTCTAACGTTTTTTTTTCTTACGGCTAATAATAAAAACTTTAAAGGCTAAGTGTTGTAAATTATATACTTCTGCAAATGCAATGTATATAAGCAATTCAATGTAAATACAAGGAATAACATGTAGTGAGTTTAATTTTAACAGATCCCAAAATGGGAGTCATGGCAGGGAATGGGTTAATAAAATCTGTCTTTTTTTGCTAACTTTCTCAAACCCAGACCCACCATCCATTCACTGAACTCTCCAACTAGATTACGCGTTGTTTTCCTGTTTCTTCAATCTGTCCTTTGAGCATTAAATTTTCTAAGCCTTCTTTCATGCCCTTGAAATTTAAATTATCAGTTCCTAATATTAAGTCACAGTGTCTCTAGAACTTCATCATTCCTCACATGTTTGGTCCATGGTATTCTGAGCACCATTGGGTAAAAACCACATTTCTGTTGCTTCAAGTCTCTTCTTCGTTTGTGAGGGAATTGTCCATCGTTCACTTTTATGTAGGAGGAAAGGCTGTTTAGTTAACATACGTAGAAAAAGTCAGTGTCACAGTAATCATTCCTTCGCAGTGTTATCTAAGTGTTTGTAAACATTAAACCTTTTTTACCAGAGGCTCATAATATTAAGAATTCCTGACAAAATCTAGCGGATAAAACTCAGCTACTTATCCCAAAAGTGGACAAAAACCCAGTCTCGCGAATAAAAGATTTATATATAGAGAGAAACTAATTTAACATTGAAAATTCAAATTTTAATCCCGAACTGAGACATTAATAATAATATACAATATATAAACTTATATGTACAAGTAAGATCTATTTTTGTCGGATACTTCACAAGTTTATGAGACGTTCTGTTTGTTATAGAAATTCATTGTAAAATCGATGTATAATTGGAAAAACGTTTTGTATCAGTATATGTAAAAAAGAAACAAATGTAATATCGAAGATTCAAGGAATTTTTCATTCAAATTTTAATACTAAATTGAAACATTAAAAATAATATCCAATCTATACACTTATATGTACAAGTTCTATTTTTCTAGGGTACTTCACGATTTAAGAGGTACGTTTAAAAATTCATTGTAAATCGATCGAACCTATAAAAAAACGTTTTCTAACAATGATACGGTTACATAATCGATATATTTCAATGTTAGGGAGTTAAAGTATTCCATAAGACCTGATTTTATGTGAAGAGAGTCTCAATTTGATATTAAAATTAGAATTAAAAGCTCCTTGCATTTTCAATTTATATATGAATTATGAGACGGGGATTAAAGATAGATAGATAGATAGATAGATAGATAGATAGATAGATAGATAGATAATGACCAGTCTAAGATAGATAGATAGATTTCTTCTATATATATATATATATATATATATATATATATATATATATATATATAGATAGATAATGACCAGTCTAAGATAGATAGATAGATTTCTTCTATATATATATATATATATATATATATATATATATATATATATATATATATGTACAAGAAAGATCTATTTTGTCGCTTATTTCACGTGTTTATAAAGGCCGCTGTGTTTACCAAAGAAATTCATTGTAAAATATCGATTTATAATTGGAAAACTTTTTCTAACAATGCTACGGTCAAATATTCGATATATTTCATAGTTAAGGATTCCTAGTATCCCATAATACACAACCTTATTGTTGGAAGAAAGCCTTAAGAAGGTTCTTTTTTTTCACCAAAACGTAAACAAACCACAGAGATCGTATACAGCTATATATATATATATATATATATATATATATATATATATGTGTGTGTGTGTGTGTGTGTGTGTGTGTGTGTGTGTGTGTGTGTGCAGATATGTAGAAAAATAGAAAAGAACACGTTAGGTAAATAATCCAGAGTTCTTTAGTATTTTTGTTTTTATTTTTAAAAAAACAGTGCTCCATACAGAAGTAGAGCTAAAATTATAATTATTTTTTTAAAAAAATATGATTCCTTCGCTACATAAGAGTACTCATGTTTCAAAAACGAGAGCCGAAACACTCAATATAAATTAAAATTAACAATTTAATTTTAATAATTATATCGAGGGCTTCGGCTCTCGTTTTTGAAACATGAGAACTCTTATATAGCGAAGGAATCATATTTTTTTAAAAATAATTATAATATATATATATATATATATATATATATATTGGCTGTCCATAAAGTCCGTATGCACTTTAAAAAATTGTAACTTTATTTGCATTTGCGATAGAAAAAATCCGTTTAAAGGATTAGAAAGAAGTAAATCTATATTTTATTTAAGTTTCCACATGTTCTCCATAATTAGCAATACAAAGGGTAATACGATTTTGTAGCTCACGGAAAACATTTGCCAACTGATTTACAGTAATGCCTGAAATCACATTAGTTATTTTAGCTATACTTAAAAAAACGTACATTAAACTTTATAACATTTTTTACAGATTATTTCTATCGCAAATACAAATAAAGTTATAAATTTTAAAGTGCACACGGAATTTATGAGCACCTGTATATATATATATATATATATATATATATACAGGGTGTCCATATTTCTGTGTGCAATTTAAAGACTTAAGTATTTTAAATTGCACACTGACTTTCTGGACACTATGTGTGTATATATATATATATATATATATATATATATATATATATATATATATATATATATATATATATATATATATATCTGGTATTGAAAACACACCTCTTTGGGTCTAGTTACTGGATCTAACCAACGCCTTTATCCACTGGGTTACAGCAGTGGTAAACCAGACTTAAAGTGATGAATTAAAGGGAAATAACTGAGATACCCGGAAGAGGCATGGTATGTGGAAGTAGAACAATCTACCCCGGTGGACGAAATAAAGGGTTAGGCTCGAAATTGCAATAACCTGAAGAAGATCAGAGCGAACAGTTGTGAATATGGCAATGAAGATGAGGATAACAGTCCGAATAATATAAATAATGCAAGTAATCGTAATACCTCATCTCAGAGATATAAACAGATATCGAATTAAGGACTTAAATAAGTTTTTAATTCGGGAATTATTTTTTGTGCATATAAGTCTATATACTGTATATTGCTATTGTTGTCAAAATTTAGCATTAACATTTGAATTGATGAATTTGAATTTTCAATGTTAATTCTTTCTTTTTATATATGAGACTGGGATTTTATTTATTTTTCGGATGAGAAGCTGAAATTTTGTCCGCTGGTATATTTTCCTGTTACACCATATTGAAACCACTACAGAGAAATTAATTGACAAGCAACAAGCAACGTCGTTCGGCGTCCTTATGCGTTAGTGAGCTTGCTTTAAGATGAAATAAGAGAAAGAATAAAACGTGATTTTCACTTGTTTGATAGAATTATTTGATTGCCAAGTGAATATTGAGAAGCAGACTTTCTCAGCTAAATCAGCTAACGTTAATCTTTAATCTAAATATGGCGTCCGGGTGACTGTGATGCAGACATGTTGGGACTAGACGGACAGCAGTCATGTTTTATTTATTCATTTATTTTAGTGTAAGTTATTGGATAGTAGGTGGGTGTGAATTGTCGATAAGGGCCGCTTTGCCTGAGAACGGGTTGGTCTATGGTTTTGTTTTATTGTTTGTTTTTTGTTTTTTAGGGGGGTTGTTTTTTATGTGTGTGTGTGTGTGTGTGTATCGTCAAATTAGCAGACGTATTAAATGTTAAAACGTTTCAGAGATCAACATTCATGAATCTTTTAGACATGCGATATTTGACGAACGCATATGTAGACAGTTTTTTTTTTTTTTTTTTAAATTCACACCATCGTCAGGTTATCGGGCATGGTTCAATTTAGCGTTTCAAACGATTTCTGCTTACTGTATATTGAATTAATTCCCTTACATTCCTTTCAATATTCTATTAGGTTTTATTCTGCCTACCCCTGTACCTGTTGCAATATACACCCGCTCGGTTGAGCCAGCTCTGTTATACGAACACACTGCTTCTGATTGAAAGCTGACCAACGGTAGTAGAGGCCGTGTACATTCAGACGTGCAAATCCATAGTAAGAATTTCAGTGTGAAGTTGGATTCACAAGCGGTCCCCATATAAGTACTGGTCCTCATATAAGTACTGGTCCTCATATAAGTACTAGTCCCCATAACGTCCCCAGCCGCATATATACACACTTGTAGGATAGTGCGGTCCAGTTTGAAGTTTCTTTCTCCACGACTGATCGCCACCCAAGCCTATAGAACCCAGTCTGACCTGCTATTTTATCCATAGAGGGGTATTCTTATTCTGTGTCATGCATTTAATTTAAAAACTGATGCATCCGAAAAGAAATAATAATAGTAATGGTAATCTAAGCCGTTTCCTTATAAGGAAACACTCAGCATGCATTGATCGAAATGTCACTGCTGCTTTCGGTTGAAATTTATAAAATCTTTGTAGTAAAACCAATTTTTCAGGAAAATAATTTTCTCAAAGCTAACGTTATCACTCTTTCCAGTGTTGATAGAGGTTTTCTTGGTAACATTTTATTTGAAATAGCGTGGAACGCCATCATCTTGATTATGTCATTAGTTTCTCTTCAAAAACGAAACGGCCGTCCATTGCTTTCTGCATTCTGTTGAGGTTTCTTCTAGACTCGATGAATTACTTAATTATGATAATCTCAAATCCTTCTAATAATTTCTATCACTTGCATATCCTTGCTTGAATTGGCTTCTAATGCTCTGAATGGAGCGGCTTGGGGATAGTAGTCGTGGCTCATGGGGCCACAGTCCTATGGGTAGGGGAAACTCGAATGACTTCCACCACGGAATATGTGATCGAGCGGCGCTATATCGAGTCTAATTCGCCACCTCTTTGTCACCGAGGCCCGTTGGGACAGTTGGCATGACGTTTTCCTGATAACATCCGGGTTTCAATTCTCGGTAGGGGATGCGTACTGCTGATGTGTCCCAAATATAGAACGAAACGGCCGTCCAATGCCTTCTGCATTCTGTTGGGGTTTCTACTAGACTCGATGAATTACTTAATTATGATATATATATATATATATATATATCATAATTAAATAATATATATATATATATATATATATATATATATAAACATTTCGTTAAATAATAATAATAAGTTCAGAAAGATTTAATAAAAAATTGATAGTCAGAACTTTGTCCATATTATTTAACAAAACATGTTCAGATAATTCTTGCTGCCGAATTACACATTTTCAGACCGGTAAGTGAAAACAAATAAATATACTGTTTAATAAATAATTGGAGAGCCGACTCAAATACAAGTATCCACTAAAAATAACGTTTATGGTGATACGTATATATATATATATATATATATATATATATATATATATATATATATATATGTGTGTGTGTGTTTATCCCTTGTTGTTTCCTGTTTAGGATTGGGTCTCTGGTTCGGCTCTTTATATCCCTAACGTCTGGGCTGAACTCTGAAACCCATGTTAAGTGGTGAGGTGTCTTTAAAAGACATGTCCTATATATATATATATATATATATATATATATATATATGTGTGTGTGTGTGTGTGTGTGTGTGTGTGTGTGTGTGTGTGCGTGCAGATAAGTAGAAAAATAGGAAAGAACACGTTAAGTAAATAATCCTGAGTTCTTTAGTATTTTTGTTTTCATTTTTTTAAAAAACAATGCTCCATACCGAAGTAAAGCTTAAATTATAATTATTTTTTAAAAATATGACTCCTTCGCTACATAAGAATGCCTAAATTTCAAGATTGGTTATTCCTAAACTTTCGCTTGAGGATGAAACAGGGCTTGATACTTAAACTCAATTTAATTTCAATAATTATATTGAGGTTTTCGGTTCTCTTTTTTGAAACATGAGAACTCTTATGTAGCGAAGGAATCATATTTTTCTTAAAAATAATTATACATACATATATATATATATATATATATATATATATATGCCCTCATTAATATTTTCAACAGAAGTAGAGGTTTATCTTTACTTCAGCTGTAGACTGGTAACACTTGTTCTTTCCTACGCTAATACAAATCCACACTGTAACCTTCTACCTTGAGCGTCTCTTCGCCTTTGTACTGGGTGAAGTAAAAATTATATATATTATATATAAATATATATATATATATATATATATATATATATATATATATATATATATGTCTCTGTGTGAGTGTGTGTGTGTGTGTATGTGAGAATGTTGTGTGAGAGGTAGATGTGTGTAGTCCTAATTCCAATGCATAAAAATCACATGGGAGAACAGACATTCTTCATACGAATTTTCACCCAATACCAAGCTCCAGAGTCAACCATGGTAGATCCTTACTTCATCAGGGGTGATATGAAGGTAAAACGAGGTAGAAGAAATAGCCGATTATGAGGATAAGGGTCAAAGATAGTGATGGGCCGCTGATTTCAAGTGTTTAAGAAGGTAGTATTCAGGAAAGGACAAAGTATCATAGCTTTTTTCAGCGAAACTTCCTGTTCATAGCTAAATTATAATCAGTTGGAGCAATTACAATTATATGTGATTATATAATTGCTGGCCACCCCTCTACTAGGGCGGCTAACCAATCCCTATTGCAGATGCTCGCTCAGGCGCATTTGTATTTGCTCGACACCCACAGAGCCAACCTGTGGTTTATACTGCAACTATGCTGAAAAGGACTTAGTTAGGTTTCTGGGAGGGAGCGTGTTATCTAGAGTAATCAATAATTCGAACAGGGCCGATGAATAGTGGCTTCATGCTATCACAACTATCGACGGCCCGTAAGAGTTCCGTCTACCCATTTTCAGTCACAAGGTTTCGGTCTACACGTGGTTTTCACGCACTTTCAAAGGGTGTCACACGCTGGGATCGACCTCGATCCAGTCTGATAACATCAGCCTAGCCTGAAAGCGAACGTACTACCCACTCGCCCATATATGTTATTATATAATATATATGTATATACATATACATCTCCCCACTCTCTCTCTCTCTCTCTCTCTCTCTCTCTCTCTATCTATCTATCTCTCTGTCTACCTTTCACGAGGAAAGAACACACAAAACAACCCCCCTTGAAAATGGCTACAAGAATTGTCGAAAGCGCTTGGGACAATGAAAATGATGGAAAATTTATGTAATCCCTTACTCTTAGAAAACGACAAAATCTAAGAATGGTGGAAAAACTAAATAAAAAATTAATTAACTCTTCCTTGTCTGCTGTATTAAATGAAAGATGTTTAAAAGAAAAGTTGCTGCTCAAATATACATTAATGCATATATATACATATAAGTGATTACATTGAGGACTTAGGCTAAACATAATTCGTCGCGCTTACAATAATCCTCAACAAAATGCACTGTTCGGCCGTTTCGTCCTATCTGTCCACTACCGAGACTCGAACCCGGCCCGTTTCGATACAACACAGTCATACGAA